GCCATTTGATACTTTTGGGGCATTGGGGGGGGGGGTATTTTTAGGGTCTTTTGATGCTTTGGGGCAATTTGGGTCTTTTGGGGCAGTTTGATCCTTTTTGGGGCGTTTTGGGTGGCTGTTTTTGGTGCTTTGGGGGCAATTTCAGATTTTTTGGGGTATTTTGGGGCTATTTTGGGGCAGTTTGACCCTTTTTGGGGTATTTTGGGGCATTTTGGTTCCAAGTGGGGCCATTTGTTCGGCTCTTTTGGGGCCATCTGAGACTTTTGGGGGTATTTGGGGGCATTTCTGGGGGGCTGCTTTTGGTGCTTTGGGGGCCATCAGAGACTTTTTGGGGTATTTTTGGGACACGGATCCTTTTTGGAGTATTTTTGGTGGCTGTTTTTGGTGCTTTGGGGGCGATTTGAGACTTTTTGGGGTATTCTGGGGGGATTTAGAGGCAGCCTGATCCTTTTTAGGGTATTTTGTGTGGCCGTTTTTGCTCCTTTTGGGGCATTTCGGTGCTTTTGGTTCCAGATGGGGGCCACTTCTTCGACAATTTTGGGGCAATCTGAGACTTTGGGGGCTATTTTGGGACATTCTGATCCTTTTTGGGGTATTTTGTGTGGCTGCTTTTGGTGCTTTTAGGACATTTTGGTCCTTTTGGTTCCACACGGGGCCATTTCTTTGACTGTTTTGGAGCCATGTCAGGCTTTTGGGGCTATTTTGGGGCAGTTTGACCCTTTTTGGGGTATTTTGTGGCATTTTTGAGGGGCTGCTTTTAATGCTTCTGGGGCCACCTGAGATTTTTGGGGCTATTTTAGGACATTCTGATCCTTTTGGGGGCGTTTTGTGTGGCTGTTTTTGGTGCTTTTAGGGCATTTTGGTGCTTTTGGTTCCACGTGGGGCCATTTCTTTGACACTTCTGAGGCTTCTGGGGGTATTTTGGGGCAGCCTGATCCTTTTCGGGGTATTTTGGGGCATTTTTGAGGAGCTGCTTTTGGTGCTTTTATTGCACTTTGATGCTTTTGGTTCCACGTGAGGCCATTTCTTTGACACTTTTCAGGACATTTGGGGGCAGTTTAATCCTTTTGGAGCTTTTCATGTTTCTTCCCCTTTCCCGTTGGATCCGGGGGGGCTCTGGTCACCATCACGGGGGTCCCCAAGCCCAGGAAGGGCCCCCAGGAGCTGCGTGCGGGCGTCTCCGATGAATTGGTGCTGCAGAAACGTGGGCAGCCCCCCCCCCAGGGGCACCCGCACCAATCCCTGCACCTGTATGTGTGTGTGTGTGGTGGTGGGGGGGGGCACAGGCTAGAACCCCCCCCAAAAAACTCCCCAAACCCTATTATTACCCCCCTCCTTTCCTTCCTTCCCTCCCTCCAACCCCCACTTCTCCAAACCTCAACGTGGAATCAGACCCACCCCCATAACAGATCAG